GATTTGCTTGTGAGAGTCTGTGAGAGGCGCGGGTGATTTGGTTGTTACTCTTTGCTGTTGCTGTTGTGTGCGATCGAGTAGATTCCAATTCATAGTGCCCCCATGTGACAGAGCAGAACTGCCCCGTCGGATTCCCTAGGCTGTCATCTTTACAGAAGCAGATTGCCAGGTCTTTCTCCTGCAGAGTGGCTGGGTGGGCTTGAACCACCCACCTTTAGGTTAGCGGCAGACTGCTTAGCTACTGCACCACCAGGGCTCCTTTGTTATCCTGTAAAGGTAATGAATTGGGAAAGCAGTGTTCTCTTCAGCACGTCAGAGGTGCACCCCAAACAGGAGTAGATTCCCCCCAAAGCATTCATTAACCAAGACCTCATCCAGAGTTCTCCCTCTTGGTTCTAACCAGGAGTATTTTTATTGGTTGGTGCTATTAAGAAAGACATGATTTTTATTTTTTCATATATTATTGTTTGCCTGCAATGATTTTTTAAAGTCCCCTTTAAATTGAAGTTGCACTGTTGTTAGGTGTTATCGAGTCCATCCCGACTCACAGCAACCCCGTGTGACCCCGTGTTTACAGCTCTGAGCTGCTAATGGAAAGGGTAGTGGTTTGAACCCACCAGGTGCTCTGCGGGAGAAAGATGTGGGCAGTTACGGGCAGAACTGAGTGTCAGCCCAGTACTCAGGGCTGCTTCCATAAAGGTGACAGCCTTGGAAACCCGGTGGGTCGGTTCTACTCTGTCCAATAGGATCTCAGTGAGTCGGAACCAACTCCACAAAGGCAACAGGTTTGGTTTGGTTTTGTTTTGTTTTTAAATCTTTATGGGAGCAGATTGTCAGGTCTTTCTCCTGAGGAGCTGCTAGGTGGGTTTGAAGCACCAACCTTTCCTTTAGCAGCCAAGTGCTTAACTATTGTACCACCAAGCATCCTTAAATTGAGATATAATATATATGTATAAAGTAAAATTCACTGTTTTCCATGTACAGTTTTGACAAATGCGTACCGTCCTGTAACCACCGCCAAAACCAAGAGAACGGTTCCATCACACCCCAGACTCCAGGTGCTCCTTTGTCTTCAGTCTCTACCGCTGTTCCCAGCCCTGTCAAATGATGATTTCTCGTTCCTACAGTTTGCCTTTTCCAGAATGTCATACAAATGAAATCAAAACGTAACTAGCTTTTTGACTCTGGCTTCTTTCACTCAGTATAAAGCACTGAAAATTCATCCATATTGTTGTGTGTATCAGTGAGTCATTACTTTTTATTACTGAGTAGGAATCCCATTGTATGGATGTACTGGAGTTTGCTTATCCACTCAACAGTTGAAGGACATTTGAGTTGTTTCCAGTTTTGATGATTATAAAGCCACTGTAAACATTCATATTCAAGTTTTTGCGTGAGCATAAGTTTTCATTTCTTTTGGGTAAAAACCTGTGAATGGATTATGGTTAAAATATGATAAGTGTATTTTAACTTTGTAAGAAACCACCAAGCTGTTTTCCAAAGTGGCTAGACCGTTTGGTATTCCCACCAACAGTGTATGGGAGTTCCAGTTGCTCCACCTCTTTGCCAGCACTTGGTATTGTCAGTTTTTGTTTTGTTTTTAGGGATTCTAAGAAGGTCGCTGTGAGTCGGAATCGACTCCAGCAACGGGTTTGGTTTTTGGTTTTGGTAATAGGTGTCTGGTCGTACCTCCTTGTCATTTTAGTTTTCATTTCCTTAATGACTAATGGTGGTAAACATCGGATCATGTGTTTAGTTGCCATCCATACGTCTGTTTACTTTTGGTGAAGTGTCTGTTCAAATCTTTTGCCCATTTTTTTAAATTGGGTTGTATATTTTGTTATTGCACTTTGAGAGTTCTTTATATGTTGTAGATCTAAATCTTTTGCTAGATATGTTTTGAAAACATTGTCTACCAGTCTGTAGCTTGTGTTTCCAATCTCTTAACAGCATCTTTCATGGGACAAAAATGTTTAATTTTGCTCAAGTCCAATTTTGTTAGCTTTTCCTTTCATGTTTTTAATGTCATAGCTCAGAAACCTTTGTATAACATAAGGTCACAAAGACACATAAGGTACAAAGTATGGCTCGAGATTCATTTGTTCGCACATGATCAGCCATTTGTTTCAGGACCAGGTTGAAAAGATAGATTATACTTTCTTCATTGGATTTCCCTTTCACCTTTACTGTGAATCAATTGACCATATATGTATGAGTCTATTCTAGACTCTATTATTCTGTTTCATTTATTTATGTGCCTGTCTTTTCTTCAGTAGGGCTCTGTCTTGATTACTTCAGCTTTAGGTAAGTCTTAGATTCAGGTAGTATGAATCCTCCTACTTTTTTCTTCTTTATCAGGATTGTTTTGGCTGTTGTAGTTCCTTTGCCTTTCTACAGAAATTCTAAAAACAGTAGTTGAGATCTATAAAAAGGAAATCTTACTGCAGTTTTGAATGGAAAGTGTCGAATCTATAGATCAATTTGGGGAAAAATCGACATCTTAACAATATTGAGTCTTCAATACATAAACACAGTATAGTCTCTATATGTTTAGATCTCTTTTGATTTTTTCCACCTGTGCTTTATAGTTTTCAACATAAAGATGCTACACGTATTTGTCAGTACCTCAGAATTTCGTGTTTTGTGTCAGCCATTGAAAACTCCACAGAGCACACTTCTGCTCCGACACACCTGGGGTCACAGCGAGTCAGAGTCAACTTGACAGTAGATTTTTTTTTTAGGGGGGGGTGGTTGGTGCTATTTTAAATGATACTTTTTTTCTAAATTATTTTAAATTCCAGTTGTTCATTTTAAAGATGTTTTGTATGTTACCCTTATGTCCTGGAATCTTGCTAAACTCACCCATTCTTCCAGTAGCTTTTTCATAGAATCCTTGGGCTGTAATTCTAAAATTTTAATGAAAGATGATACTGAAACTGAGAATAAAAATTCTGTCACATATTTCATCAGCATTACAGGGACAGACGTTCTCTCGGGCTGTGCGTTCTGTTCCAGGATGACGTACGAGACTTGGCGGGCCCAACCTTCAATCTCAAACCTGTGGGTGGTAAATCCTTATCTTCTCACCTGCCATGTGTTATCTGAGATGCTGGCTACGCTGTGGACTTCTCCATCGATGTCTACTCCTTAAAAGAGCCTTTCAGACACGTCACAGGGAGAAGCCAGTATAATTATGTGAAATCGTTGTTGTTGGGTGCCGATGAGTTTGTTCCAACTTGTAGCCACCGTGAGTGACAGAGTAGAACTGCCCCCCTTGGTTTTCTAGGCCGTAATCTTTATGGGAGCAGATGGCCAGGTCTTTTTCCTATGGAGCAGATGCGTGGGTTTGAACCACCAACCTTTTGGTTATCAGCCAAGTGCTTAATCACTGCGCCACCAGGACTCCTACCCCAAAGGGTATCACTACGTAAACATTTGGCACCGCAGCCGTGCCAGACAACACAGAACTGTTGATAAGGTTCAGCTTGTATAAAAACAGACACAGTGGCAAGAGGTTGTTATAAATGGAATAACTCTTATGACAGCTTTGGCTCCAAAATATGATGAAGTAAGAAAAGCATTTGTTGTAGGTGTGTGAACTGAGATGCTTGGGGTATGGGCGCAGGAAAAAGACCCAGAGCTGCGGGTAGAAGAGAGGCCCAGGGAGCCGGCCCTCAGGGGTGGAGCAAAGGACGCAGGCGAGGTCAGCAGGGATGGAGGGGGCGGCTGAAGGGAGGATATGTGGGGCTTCTTTGCCTTCCGCGGCCACGAAGATGCAGATTCCCATCTGGCAAACAGCAGAAAGCAGGCAGAGGGAAGATGCCCAGCCCCAGGGGAAAGCCAGCACTATGCAAACGTTGAGACTGATGAGCAGCTAATTAGACGCCCGCCCATTCAGATGGTACGTGATGATTTATACTCGGAGAGTAGCAAGCATTGTGATTTTGCTCCTTCTCTTCCACGTGCACTGCCCTCACCGAGGGGGGGCTGGGCTCCTGCTTCATTTTCAGTGTTCCGTGGGCTGTGCGTTGCTTACACGTGTTTGAAATGCTGAGCTGGTACAGAGTTGAGAAAATTACCACAGACAGAGGTAGGTGGGCTCTGCTGGGTAGACAGAGGATGACAGGAGAGCTGAAGGTCTGCACATGTTATCCAAGTCAAGAATCTGATTTACCTTTGGTTTTCTCACAGACAGTAAATGGACTTAAAAAAAAAGCCAAACCTTTTGCTGCCGAGTCAATTCTGACTCATGGCACCCCCATGTGTGTCAGAGTAGAACTGTGCTCCATGGATTTTCAGTGGCTGATTTTTTTTTTTTTTTGGAAGTAGATGGCCAGACCTTTCTTCTGAGGCACCACCAGGTGGACTTGAATCTCCAACCTTTCAATTAGTAGCCAAGCACTTAACCATTTGCGCCACCAGGGAGAATTAATGGGTTAGGTCCAGTTTACACTTGAAGAGCTGTGGAACTATATGACCTTTTTATGGGCTCGGGTATATTGTACTAAAGGAGTTGATGGCAGTGAAGACCCAAGCCCAGCCCTGATTACTGAATGTGCAGCTCTCAGTTTTAGAGTCCCGAAACAATTCAGGTTTGCTGTCTTTGCTGAAGGCAAAGAATTATCTGGCCCCAAATGCCAACAGAGCCAAGGTTGATAAATGACAGATGGCATGACCGCTGTTAGGTACCCATGTGGAGTACCTAATGGGGGGGGGTGGTTGCAGAGAGGCTTCCTGAAACAAAGACCTTAAGGCCAGTAGGAATTACTCAGACAAGAACACCTGATATTTTGATGCCACTGTTTTGACCCAGCCATTTTAACTCCAAAACACTCTAATGCAATCCATTGCCGTCAAGTCAATTCTGACTCATAGCGACCCTATAGGGTGGAGCAGAGCTGCCACATAGGGTTTCCAAGGCTGTGATCTTTACAGAAGCAGATTGCCAAGCCTTTCTCCCGAAGAGTGGCTAGTGGGTTCAAACTGCCAACCTTTCACTTAGCAGCCGAGCGCTTAACCACTGTGCCACCAGAGCTCCTCTACTTTAATGCAACCTGGAACAAAATGTTATTTTTAACTAAGCTAATGTACAGGGAAAAGCACCTTCTTCCCCTTCCCCCAGTGAACCTCATCCCAAACTATGTAGTATAGGGGTCAAGTTTGGGGTACAGTCAGGTACAGACATTGTAGGGTGAAAGATAGTGGATTTCTCTAGTATGTATTATTTTATATGAAAAACATTGATGTTATATCTTTAAATGGCCTTTTTATGTGACCTTCTCCAAAGAGCTGCTCCAAATGCCCTTTGTATGCCTACACTTTCAAGAACAGTCCATGAGAAACTTCTAAAGCTGGGTGGGAGGCTAAGGGGGTGGAGAGGGTTTATACTTTTAATGATATTCATTTCTATCCTTTCTTCTTTTAGATATTTGTATTTCATCATTTAAAAAATCAGCAATGTTAAAATTTGAAGTCTTGCTTTGCCAGGTAAATAATAGATAATAGTGCCGGATATTTAAAAAAAAAATTTGCCATCAAGTCAATTCTGCCTGATGGCATCTCCACTGATGTCATAGTATAATTGTTCTCCATACGATTTTCAATGGCTGATTTTTCTGAAATAGACTACCAGGACTTTTGAGTCTTCTGGGTAGACACCAACTTTCAACCTTTCAGTTAGCAGCTGAGACCATTTACTGTTTGCACCACCCAGGAACTCCTAGCTAACATTTAGTAACTACCAGAAGAACAAACAAATCTGTCTTGGAGGAAGTACAGCTAGAATGCTCCTTAGAAGCAAGGATGAGGAGACGTAGTTTGGACATGTTATCAGGAGGGAGCAGTCCCTGGCGAAGGACATTATGTTGTTAAAGCAGAGGGTCAATGAAAAAGAGGAAGACCCTCAACGAGATGAATTGATACAGTGGCTGCAACGATGGGCTCAAACATAGCAATGATTGTGAGGATGGTACAGGACCAGGCCCTGTTACATTCTCTTGTACATAGGTCACTGTGAGTCAGAACCAACTCAACAGCACTTAACAACAACCACGTACTG